GTTTTAAAATATTGTGATTATAAATAAGAGGCCATATGTGTGGATCAACTTTACAGACGTATTTGGAATTTGAAATGAATTGTGGTTCTGTGTACATCGGTGAAACAATCAGAACTATTAGGAATAAAATTAATGAACACCTTCGAACTCTACACACATTAGACAGTAGGCTGAACATTTTGTTGACAAACATGGTCGAGACTGATACTGATTGTCTCATAACGGAAAACATTCTTAATCACTGCCACAGCTTTTTACTCAAAAAAATACAAAGAAACTCTACTAGTTTCAGATAATAAGCCACAATTAAACAGTCAAACCACGCTGCAATTTTTAATTTTTACTGTTTGTATCTAATTAGTGTAACAACATATGTGTGCTTTAAATTGTATAATCTTGTCCGTTTGCATGTACTTTTAATTTGTTTAAAAATATTTTCGGGCGAAGTCCATCTTACTGAATAGACTCAAATTATTTAGAAATCTTTTGTACAAGCCTAAATCAGTTGGTTAGTGTCTTGTTTGCCCGATGAAGCCGGAATAGTGAAACAACGTTGTCTTAAATATAACCAATTATGTGTTCTGCAGTAGTATGCCTCGTTTTATCTATTATTTTAACAATGAATAGAACTCTCCAATTTGCACAACAAAGTTTAAAATAAAATGTGTATTTGTGTTTGCCATGTATTTACTCTTTCAAGTAACAAAACATTAAATAAATGTGCTTTTAACTTTGAAACTGAGTAACAAATCCTTCATCAAAAAGTCTTAAAAACTCACTATAGCAACCAAGAGAAAATCATAAATTACAAGGCAAGTCTGGTTTTCATACTTTAGTTATAAGTATAGTTTACCCGTTTTTCCACTGCGTATATATCGTTTGAGAATCTGTGATTAAGTAATGGCATGATTTTTTTATTCTTCTCTCGGTTACTTTGACACCAAGACTCAGTTCTACATATTAAGAATGTTGTTTATTTTATTCACAACGTTTCACCAGGTTTACCTAGCATCATCGGGTGTATGCCACCTGATTATACCAGGTAAACCTGGTGAAATGTTGTGATTAAAACAAACAAAAGTTTTGCTATGTACAACCGATAAAAACTTGTGTGTATTTTAATATTTAATTTAAATCTTAGTTCTGTTGTTTTTATAAAAATTTCAAATGCGAAAACATAAAACTACTAACCACTCAGTCTTCAAAACATTTTAGTGCTTTTAAAAATATCCTGTTTGACTACTTTTGTTACAATATGTGACCTTTATCAAATATGTAGCTTTATTATTTCAAAGTGACTGCATATGTATCAAAGAATTAATTCTAAAAACTGTACTAGATTCATGCTAGCTCTTACATTTCAGTAGATGTAGATACAGTTTCAAAGAAAGAAATATATTGTGATTAAACACAAGAGGGAAGAGGAATGTTGCACAAAAAAATATTCCTTGTTTACGATTACAATCTATCTAATATGCTTCCCGCCATTTACTAGCTGTTTACAGATACTGAATTATGCTATTAAATGTTCTATTAGGAAGTGATAAAACCACAGAAATGTCATGTAACCATTCATTAGTTAACGTTTCTATCGTTGCTATAATTTTGACATTGATACGAAACGGTTGCCGAAATGTTTAAGGGTATAGCTTAATGGTTAGCGAGCTGGAATGGAAATCCGAGGTTTTATAGACTACAATCATTTGCTGCAAGTTCGCGCTCCGCACTTTCGGATCTGTGGGTACGTTATAAGATTGAATGGTCATTGATTATAGTAGTACAAGAGTTGGTGGTGGATACTGTTTACTAACTACCTTTCCTCTATTTTAAGCCCGCCCCACCATCAATGTATCAATGATAAGGCGGCTGCCTTATGACGTTAAAATCGGGTTTCGATACCCGTGGAGGGCAGAGCACTGATGGTCAGTTGTGCTTATCAAAAACCAGTAATCAAAACCTATTCCAAGCACGGCTATCTCAGATACTCCTTGGTAGTTTTACGGGAATATTAGAAACAAGCAAACATTTATATGATATGACATTATAAAACATCATAACAGTAGTCCCTATATTCTTTCAGCAGGACAGACAGAGGCTAAAGAGTAGCACGCCCAGACTGTGAATCCGAGGGTTCATGATTCACGTGCCAATGCCGCAAAAACGCGCACTACATTTTGGGGCAACGAATGCGCTATAAAAATGACAGTCAAACCACTTTATTCGATCAGACAAGAGTAGCCCAAGAAATGTCAATGGGTGTTGTCGACCCAGCTGCCTTTTCTCTAATCTATAAGCTCAAAGTTAAGAACGGCCTTGCACAGCTAGCACTTGTGTAGTAGCTTGGCGCTAAAAGTCAACAAATACATTCTCTCAGCGAAGTAGCCTGCTTTGTCTCTCTTTAGTTAGAAAATTTGTTAGAATATTGCAATCACTTGTGTACATCTAGAAATAATACTTGAAATGAAAAATAATTATCATGTTATGAGCTTACATTGAAATAATAACGTAATGTATATATTATTTTTGTGGGTTCGAAACAAATTTTATTTTTTAGTTTCAGTGTTATTTACTCTTATGAGTAAAATATGAATTATTATTAATTAGAATTAAGTTGTTTAAAATAGGCTAATGTATCAATGATAATCCACGTGCCTCGGTTTATTTTATTTTGTTTACTGTTAAGAAAACATTCTAATTATTTAAATCTTAATTAGCATACTTAGTTTCACCTTAATTAGCTTCTTTATGTTTTTTTTATCGTAAAGACCAAAGGTGCCGTGTTGGCCCTTCCTAGATATTAAACGTTCTTTTTTCTAGTTGTATAAATCCTCAAGCTTACCGCTAAGCCACCGGAGGGGGCATCTTCATTATCACTAATGTCTTTTGTGCGAAAATATTTTTGAATTAACTATCATGTTTAAGTTATTGTTGTTATTTTTATACAATAGTATAGGATTTAGGTTTAGATGTTACGGTGAACGTGCGATATTTTACACTTTGTAGCTAACATTTATTTTCCTAAACTGAATAATGTTCATGTTATTCGGTTAAGAGTTTATACATATGCAACTGGTGCTGCTAATTTGTTGATCTTCCTCTGATCAGCGGTTTTAAACTAGGAATGGTTATACCTAAAGCATACGGTTTCTGACCAGATGTCCAATAACGTATCGCTTAGGTTGAAAATACGAAACTAGAAACAATTCAAGTAAAAAAAGTTGATAGTGATGCTTCATCACCATTGTTACTCTAAAAATAAAATAATTTGGACAAAAGCTGTCAAGGAGAGGGCCTACTTCATTCTCAAAGCTATTTGCTTATATTTTGGACTAAAACATAAAATAGAATTAAAAGATATTACCCGTAAATAATAAAAACAATGTTTGTTTGGGCTGTGTAATCATTTTCAATGATAGTACGCAATTTCAATAGGATATCACAAGTTAAATTATGTCTGTGATAATGCTGCCACTGAATGTCATAGCGAGATAGGAAAGTAAAATGTGGGCAGAAACAGCTTGAGTGTCACATTAATCCAAAAACTGGATCAGGCCTGTGTAGGAGGAAAGAATGTTTCAAAAGGCTATAATTAATGCAGTACTTTGCCAGAATATTTTTTTCTCTTGGGTTTCTGTACAAATTAAATGTCCTGTCGTTGAAGTTTGGCTTGATCATCCCAAATCACCTAACACCTGGCAAGCCCTTGATGTGATGTGAGATTTCAAGTGAAATTTCATGCAATTCCGATGTAAACATAGTAGCCTGAAACGATATTCTGTAAGTAACGACAGTGTAACAGAAAACAATGGAAGAACCCACAGAGTTACCTGATTTTGAGCCATCACTAAATACTGGTACATAAAAGTGGCTAAACATAAGTCAGCACTTTCACTAAGGAGTATCTGTATTCTTCAGGTGACTTGATGAAAATTACAGTGAGGGATGGTAACAAAACATGAGAAATAGACTACTCATCGTACTCATCAACTATATTTATTATTAGGTCCATCTTATGCAAGTGTGTTTGGATACAAAGACCAAAAGTAACAATCGTAGACAATCTATTTGTAAGAATAAAAGAAAATATCCAACCAAGGCAGAAGGCGAATTAGCACTTGGGATGTTATGGCTGCAGTTTTACAGAGTACTGCAAAGACAGTCGCAAACATCGAATGTGGAGTACAAGTTAAGGACATTGAGTGCAAACTCTGGAATGAAGAAGTGTGAAAAGGCCATGTACAGGGCTGAAGCTCCTGATTATTCACAATGTCAAACATCTACAATGCAGATTCTATGGGTAAGCTATAGACCAGAGATCCATGGTCTAAGTTGGATACAAAGACATGATAAATATGGAGTATGAAACATAATGAGAGAGAGAGGACACATGATGTTCAGTGTTCTTGTACACATGAAATTTATTTGTATGTTGAATAAAAGTGAGCTTATTGTTTAAAACAAGTCTTTAGGTCTTAGTTTCTGCCACCACATGATCCTGTGTGCCTCCCTGATGGAGTTAGAGATCAGGATACAATCCCCACTAGCAGTAAAAAGAACACAAAAATTATGTATTTCAAATATATGGAATAATCCTCTTTTCATCTTCCTCCCCTATAATCACTATAAGCTGAGACAAACTAAGACTAGCCCAGTCTCACAATTTCTCAATTAATGTTTCAGTAGGTAATAATATTATTTATAAAGAAAGAACAGCTATTATATATTACTGTATAGCTTTTTACATGAAAAAGAATAATACCTTTACATACGTGTAGGAAACTGCACTTTACCGAAAATATGAAACCATGAACACTTTCTACTATTACGTTGTCACAATATCATTAGTTACATTGTTGTTATGTTACTAAGATATTTCTATACTTACTGTTTTTTCATCACTAATACTATTATTGGCTTTGCGAAATCGTTCATGCTATTGTTTACAGTAACAATAGTTAATCAACTCCTACAATTTTCTTCTGTTTATTTTCGTGTTTCAGCAAAAAACATGAACCTTATTCCAGACAAAATCAAGCTCATGGAAAAGAGATTAGGTTCAGGGAAACCTAACCCTCCATCACGACCTAACTCCTACTGGGATGACCCTTATCGGCGACCCTATTTCGATAATAGCACTATTCGGAACGTCACTGCTCCCCTTGGGAAAACGGCTTATCTTCACTGTCGGATTCGACAAATTGGAGACAGAACAGTAAGTATACAACTGAATATACAAGTATATTTTTTTGTTGTTAATATATGCGACACTCTAACCGAAAAAGGCATCTTGCCAACTTAGCTATTTAAAAAAGTGAAACATTTTCTACATGTGATTTAATTATTTAGGAACATATTCAAACCGAAAGTAAAACAACTAACGAAGCTCGACTTTACACATTGGACAAAGGCAAACGTCCTTAATTTGGTGGCAAATGACATCTCAACTTTAACGTTTTAACGAACAGTAGTTTTATTTCTTTTGTACATTTTTAACGTCTTCTGCTTCACCTCTAATGCAAATGCCATCTAAAAAAAATAGTTTGTACAATTAGTTATGACATTGAGAGAAATATAGTATGAAAATAAAGCCCATACTTTTGGGTATTATGGTTACTAACTTCTTTATTATTACATTGCTACAGTATTAGTAGCTATGTTGTTGTAAATTGCAATTATAAGTAACATAAATGTAATGGATGCTACGAAAACTTTATCTAAAAAGTAAAGGCATGCATTTTTGGAAGTGAAAATTACCATGGTACTTTTACATGATCGTTAAAAACTGTCTTTAATATTGGGTGTAATGATTTCCCTAACGTGTTAGGGCACTTGACTCGCAATCTGAGAGTCGCGGGTTCGAATCCCCGTCCCACCAAATATGCTCGCCCTTTCAACCGTGAAAGCGTTATAATGTGACGGTCAATCTCAGTATTCGTTGGTAAAAGAGTAGCCCAAGAGTTGGTGGTGGGTGGTGATGACTAGCTACCTTCCCTCTAGTCTTGCACTGCTAAATTAGAGATGGTTAGCGCAGACAGCCCTCGTCTAGCTTTGCGCGAAATTCAAAACAAACCAAACCAAACCCTAATGTGTTTACATGGTGTTTGAAAATAAAATGTTTTTTTATTATTGAGTGTAAAGATTTGTTAGTACCTTTTATGGCTGTACAAAAATGTTTTCGTTATGGGATGTAACGATTTCCACATTATGTTTACACAGTTTTGAAAGTAAAAGAGTCCTTTATTATTAAGAGTAAAGTTTAATTAATACCCTTACATGACTGCCAACTTAACTAAAATAATTTTGTATTAATGCAGCATAGTACAGAATTACTTCTTCATGTATTTTAATGGTTTTCAATGCGAGCTAAAGTTCTATATCCCATAACTTAAGCTGATTATTTACACTGTTACGTTCACAAATCATCTGACTGGTTAGCAACGAAGAATGAATGGTATGAAGAAAATTTTAAATCGTATCAAATCGAAGTTTTATTGGTCAGCAAACACTGAAATTAACAGTTACTCTTCTATATTTTCTCATATCGATCCTGAGTGAATAGGTACACAAAATCGATCAGATTCTGTATGAATATGTGTCTCAAATAGCGTTATCCGGGTCCTAATGTGGTATGCAGGCACACCATATCCTCTACCAACTGTAATGATATAATTGTTCTTAGATTTTTCATTGTTTAGTTTCCGCATTGTCATGGCGGCAACACGTGGTCCACGGTGTCTAATATTATCTTATTCTAGCCACATCAGCCCTTCGTTCTATTGTTAGATGACGTCTTCTGCCCCAAGGATATTTCAATGTTGGCGCGTTGTTTTATTTACCGTTTGCTCCACGAACTGTTGTTAAACCCTTCGATGAGTCACCAGACTTGCCGAGAATAAAAACCGGTGAGATTCACCATAAATATTGGACGCCTCAGGAGAATTGCTCATTGTAGACTGTGGGAAGACTACACTAAAATTTTAGTGGACTCGGAGATAACGAATTGCTTAATAAATTGTAAGTATAAATTATACCGAATATAATTTGAGTTGATGTGTATATCATATTATCATTATTAATCAAGTGTTAAAAAAATATGGTAAATAACATACGCCCAAACTGCATGTATGTTTATATATGTATTTGTGTATGTATATGTGAGTGTATTACAACTTAAAATATAAAATAAGGCGAAAGTCAGTATATAATAAAGATAATTCGTGTTATAAAATTTAAACAGTTAATTGCTAAAGAGAAAAGATATGTTTTGGATGAGGATTAACATTACGTATCTTACCCAATGATTGCAGCCTATGTATTATTGTTATTTAACTTTATATTTTAACGTTTTTAGATGTTGATTTTGCTAGAGACTATGTAGCTGCAATGCTTGCCTCCACCAATGAGTCAGGAACTACAGGAGCAGGAGAGTTACTTTAACTGATGAGCCAGGAACTAGAGAGCCCAGTAATAGTAATTTCATACCTAAGTGCTGCAGAAGTTTAGGAACTGTACTGTTAACCAAACTGTCCTTTTAATCACGTCAACGGTGGATGTACTTCCAGCTCACTGATAACTTCTCAGCTGTGAGTAAAACAACGTGCCCTGTATTTTAAATCTGGGTTGAAACTAGTTAGAACTAGAATATCCATTACCGGCCGAAGTATAGCGTCAACTGAATCTAATAACTGTCCTGTGATGCTGCTCGCTAGATAAAGAGAGCAGGTTGATGTTTGGAATCCAAGCGTTTTCTTTGTATCAATTTTCTCCCAGTTTTATACATAAATAATACCTTTTGAAGTTCGTTCAGTGTTGCGATCATCCATCTTGCGTGAATGAAATCTTCAAGACTAACCGTAGCATAACTTGTGAAGATTGTCTGTCGTCGCAAGTGGGTAGGCACTCAGTTTTCAGTTTTTTGTGCTTAAGTAAAAAAATAAGATTTTGTTCATTTTTATTTAAAGTTTCTTATTTCTACTGTTTCTACACTAACTCCGAAAACTCAGTCGAATACACTCACTTGGGAAGTTCATTTAAATTATTGGGCCGAACCTGCAATTATTCGCGGGTATTTTTATTAGAGAATCTTGTCGGGAAATCATTTGAACCTGAAAATACCACACTAGGATGGTTTCTGGTGGCTGTGACAGAAGCCACATTACATACGCCAAGAAAAATGAAGCAAGGTACTTTTCGGAATTGGTGAAAATCTTCAACATCATTAGTTGTTGTGGTCAGAATAAAAGTAATGTAGTTGACATTATACAGATAATTATGCATTTTCTCTAAAAGAAAATTCGATTTAAAATAAAACGATTTGTAAAAATCAAATTTACAGTGGAATTAACTTGATTAAGCTTACTATCATTCTATTGAGGTCAGAATTCTTGATTCTCGACTCGTTAAGAAAAACACGCCCTCCATACTTTCGGGCTGTGAATGCTATTCGATCAAACAATAGAAACCGAAGAATTGGCGGTGGCTAACTGCATTCCCTTTATCTATCAGCTCAAACTGGGAAACGGCAATGCAAGAGATATCACTTATATTGCTTTACAGGAAATTTCAAAAAACAAACACGTTTTTCTTGATATGCAAACTTTTTCATCTTATGCGCATACTGCATTCATCATCGGCATTAAGATATTTGAAATTATATGCCCCACTCATCTACATTATTTATGTATAGATATGTTATTGATTTTTAAAATGATGTTTCAAGATTACTTCTTTAACAATAAACTAATAGCAATAATAATAAAAATAAATATTTTTCTAAACGTTAATATTCTAATTTATGTTAAAGCATGCGTAGGTAAACACAGAAACTGTTTATCATTAAATTCGTAACAAAAGAAGTTGAATTATGTTAAATCACTTTTAGGTTTTGAGAAATTCTGCAAAAGTTTAAAAATCATTTCAGTTAAAAATGTATCACATAAAATTCTGCTCAACACAATTAGTACAAAATTTATTTGTAAATATACAATTGTGTTGTATAAGATGGTTAAAGTTCCTACATGAGATTCACACAAATTAATTAATTGTTTGTATTTTTATTTTACAATTAACAATATCTTCAAGTATTTACCGTAATGTCATTAGATGAAAAACATTTTGGTTTTCCAATGGTTCAGCGGTAAATCTGAGAGCATATAATGTTAAAAAACTGGGTTTTGATACCTCCAATAAGCATAGTACAGATAGTCCATTTACATTATTTTTCAATGCCAGCAGTCCTTAAGTAACAAGTACCTTTAGTATTGTTACGTCTCTGGTCGTTAGTTAATTTTCCGTAAACATTCTTTCCGAAGAAACTTTAACGATACAAGTCCTTTCTTAAATAAAACTAGTTCATTCTTTCTCAATACAACTTTGCAATACACTTAATTTCCACAGTCACGCTATAACTTAAACAAACGCTATAATCCACAACGAACGAACGATTCACGCGCTTGACTCAATTGTCGTCTCTATCTCTGTGTGCAATTCAATCACATTGTTGCCGTCACTTCTTGGCGGTCTTATATACAAGAATACCGCACATCTAGTAAACACTCGAGGCTTCACGAAAGGACATGAATTTTCTAGAAGATCATGACGTGTTACTAGCGTCACGTGACTTCCGCTGTCGTAACAGTATGTTGTTCAGTATTTTAACTTGAACAGTATAGTTGTAACGTGTTCTGTCGTTTGTTGGGTTCTTTTGGATTATTGACGGCCCGGCATGGCCAGGAGGTAAGGGCACTCGACTCGCAATCTGAGAGTCGCGGGTTCGAATCCCCATCACACCAAACATGCTCGCCCTTTCAACCATGGGGGCATTATAATGTGACAGCTAGCGCAGATAACCCTCGTGTAGCTTTGCACGAAATTCAAAACAAATTTGGATTATTGGTAAAAATAATGCCTTGTCCAGTCCACGTACCGATAACGAATTAGTTTATTTCTTCGATAACGTGTCCACAGACTAGGTTCACTCTGACAGAAGTTGTAGGCCTAAGTAGGCTCTTAAACCTCAGGCTTCTTCGACTGCAGTGATGAAGAAGCATTAACGATGGCCCTGCTTACAACTACACCTTCTCCTGACCTACAACTCACGTTCTACTTTATTTTTGTTTTGTAATTATAAAAAGTTGCAACAAGATTTCCAAAACAAATGGTACTTACACCAAACTTGCAAATAAGTTACAGAATTTCCTTGCTAATCGATCG